AGTCTGAAGTAATTATAATTACTAACCAAGAAATCCAAGGAAATAATTCTCATAAGAAATCTTGAAAGCAGAACCTAGATCTCAGACTAGAATTTGCTTGCATTATACCACTGCATGTTTCTTAATAGTAACTACAGAAACTTAGTAGTTTCTGTAACGCTGTGGTTAATACTGGGAAGATCTGGGTACTTCAGATTCCAGCTGCATGGTTAAATTTCTTAAGTATGCTATATTGATTCAGAAGTTTAAGCAGCAGCAAACATGTTTGTTCATACGAGCTGTCTGGAAGCAAGGGATTGCTGAACTTTAATTTAGATTCTCCCTTTTTTCTGGGTTTATGTTACCAAAGGCAAACTTTTATGCTCTGATTCTGGGTGCCTATGTCTCTTGCGAAACTGCTGACTTACTAAATGGGAGCTAAACCTGATGGACATTGTAGATCCGTACTAGCTTGAGCTACTTTGTCAGTAATTTAGGTGCCTTAGTTTCCCTACCTGTAAACTATATGAACTGTTAAGTTACTGCGATGATTAGGTGATACTGTTCAAGAAACCTGTAAAAGATGCAGGGGTTAACAACTCTGAGATATTTCTATGTGAGGAAGCAAGCCTATTCTGAAAACCTGATCTACATTAGAGGGCTAGTTCATCTCCTGGGACGTGAACTCCTTGTGCTATCAGCTGTCTCTGTTAATTTGTTCTAGTTCTTGTTGCTGCTGGGCTCCCCATGTTGCTCTGTGTGCATCTAGGCATACCCTGCAGTTCTGCTTCCATTCAGGGGCTGTCAGCAGTTCCAGTGCACGTCCCTCTGAAACAAAGCCGACAACTCAGGTCTTTCATTTGCATCACCCTGAAACATACCAGAAAGTTCAAAGCAGTGGGGCATTCCACCACCATCCTACTGGGACTTCTTGATTCTAAGGCAGCCTTCACCACTTATCTTCTCCAGTCCTTAATTTTCCAGCACAGCATTCCATTGTCAGTGATCAGCAAAAATTTAATGAAATGGCTTTCTGTTCAGGGCTCCTTAGTGTGTGATGGATGCCTGGTGCAATTTCTTTCCCGTTAGGGGATAAAATGCAGGCTTTTCCAGCATGCAATCCCCCTGGACAATGAGCAAAAGGATTGAGTAGGGTTGTCCAGTATTTTGCCTGTGTAGGTAGTAAAAATTTGCTGTTCTGCTTCAATATGGTAATTCTCTATGAATTGTTAATGGTGCCACATTATAACCTATATAACCAAAAATAACAGGGGGGGATAATAAAGAATGAAGATACTCCCTTTTGCTTAAGTCTTTCATTTAGTCATTGAAATAAAAGCTTTCAGTTAAGAACACTGCAAGTCTTATCTCTTCCTTTTAGAGAAGAGCACTGAGTATTGCCTTTTCTACATATTCAGATCTCTGCATTTTTTAATTGAAGGGTGACTACAACAAAGCTGCCCTTGCTTTGTTGCTGTTTCTGATGCCAAAGTGCAGACATTCAAAAACAGCAGAGGAAAATAAACTTTGGATAAAAGTGTGCAAAAGTGATCAGAGACTTTTATTCTAACTGCATGAAATACAATGACTATTCCTTCACCACAGATTTCCTTCCTCATTTTGCCTGTTTCTGTGGGCTGTTTGGTTGTTGTATTTTGTTTTGGTAGCTAGATATCTCTTAACTCTTCAGTGTTCTACTCGGGAATAACAGAAATCCTGAGAAATGCTGGCACCTCTTCCAGATTTTTACTTTTGAAACATGCAGTTTCCTAATTCTATTTTTGACTTAGTGGCTGTTCCCTTGGAAATTTTCAAGTTGTTGTCTGGTCTTCTGAAAATTTGGCAATAGGCACCAGAGGAAGCTGTTTTTCTGGTCTCTTATAGCACTCCATGTTCCATAAAACATATTTGTCTCTTTCTAAATGGAATTCTTCTAGTCTCTTTAGCAACAAATATTTTCTCTAGTTGAAGGTCAAAGCTGGCAGCTACAGACTGAGCTCCTCAGGTATATATGGGTGGGAACAGGATACTGTGTAATAGCCCCTTAAGAACAGGAGAGAAAAGACCTGAGTTCTCCAAGTCTCCCTGGTGGAGCCTTTTTGGCAATAGTTTGAGTTCACTCTTTATATCCACCCATTCGGTCAGCATCATCTTGTGAACTGAACAGCAGTTGTTTTTGTCAAGATGGAAAGTGGTGCCCCATGATTCATTCTGCAAATGTCCGCTCACTGCTTCAACTTCCTGACATCTGTAGTGGGACTGAGAAAGTAAAGAAGTTTGTAGCAGTTATGTATAAAAAGGAAGAAAGCACAGAGTAAACGATGTCCCAAAGCCATGGCCTGACTCCACTAATACCCACTGTCTGAGGCAGGCTTTCCTTTGTAATTACTTTTGGTTTTATAACTCCAGACAGTAATGTTCTGAGCCTTGTAACTGAATTAGAGACTTGCTTTAAGAAGACGTTGTTATTGACATAATAGTCTTGTTTATGGAATTTCTCTCCTCTGTAATTAAGGTTGTTGCATGCACAAAAGCAGTTAAATATAGCATAAATATCTGTAAATGCAAAGATATTTCAAACCTTGTTCCTTGTGTGAGCCTTTTTCCCCACTCTCTGTGCATTTGCCTCTCAAATGAGCTATGCAGCTGGAAATTCTGCTCTTTGCCTGTGCCATTATGTTGCGTCTCATCTGTATTTGTTCTTGTAAAATTGCAGGAGCAATGTAGGTTGCAACATAAAGCCTTTAAATCCCTCAAATGCTGTATTTTAAAGGTGTATTGATTAGTGGGGTTTGCTCTCTTTCTCTTATACCTTGTTGCAGAGCTGTGGGAGCTGGTGGATTGAGCAGCATGCAAGCAATATGCTCACTGTTATTCTGTCTGTCAACCGAACTTACCAGCTGGGTGAGAACCTGGCACATTCTTTAGATAAGTTTATATCTCTACTTGAAATTGTTTTCTCATCCTGGCTGTGTGAAAGTAGTTATGGTTAAAGCCCTGGACAGGCCACAGGCTTGCTTTGAGCCTGGCCAACTCATTTTTAGCTCTCTGTTTCTGGGCTCTTTGTTCATTAAACAGACAATTTTTCAATTCAGAAGGTTTTGTGCTGATTAATTCTTTGGTCTAAGTAAAGAGATCATATAATTATAGTAATAAGTGCTCCCAGAAAACCTCTAAATAAACAAATGTACTGTCTGGTCTTGCTGGGTTTGGGGAAATTGAATGCCACTATTCCAGCCTGTTTACCAAAGCTGAAGCATGTAAATGCTGTGACTGTCTCCTTATGTCCAAGCATTTTCATTTTTAGGTTTTGGACAAGTTATATTTATCAAAGCTAAAATATCTTTGTGAATGAAATGTAGTAGCTCATCTTCCCTCCCTACTCCATTTCAGTTCATTCTTTCTTTTGGCTGAGGGAAAGAAAAACTATTGAGCTGACAATGCTGTTCTCCCACTGAGCCCCACCAGCAATGGCAAAGGGACAGGGTCGTTCAGTCCAGAAAGTGTGTGTGTGTTTTCTTTGGGCAAAGAAACTTTTCAGCAAGGTGCCTTGCAACTGATGGTCCCTCTCATTTGAGTTCAGGGTCCAGGGACCTGCAGTGATTTGCTTCCAGGTCCGTATTTTTCAGGCTTTGAAGATGGTCCATAATCAAAGCAGAGGGAGTGACTTGCAGTCCCTCTGCTGGGTACCCAAGTGACCTCACTGCCTGTGCATGCAGCACTGAATGTAGTGTCACTTCCTCAGGCAGGAAAAACACAGTGCCTGTAGATCACAGCATCTACAAGAACTTTGTTAGTATGAATGACAAAGTAATTCCACCTTCTCTGAGCTGTGAATAATCTCAAACCCTCCAAATGCGAGTTGTTTAAAATCACAGAATGGCTAATGTACACTTGAGACTCGCCAAGCTTAGACCATTACCACATAACAGTCATGTGGTCTTTTTCTCGTTCTGATGTGTTAAGATCTGAAGGCAGGAGTTCCTCACTCTGAAGAACATCCCGAGGAAGCTGGATCCCAAATATAAAACCTTTAGAAGGGATTCAGCTTGGACTCAGCCTGTGTCTTAATAACCGTAGTGATGCCAACACTGAACTGAAATGTAAATTTACTCTTGGCATAACATGAGTTTCCTCTAAGACCCTTTGGCACCTTGGAGTAAGGAGTTCCAGGGGGTGTGGTAAGGTTGAACTGTTCAGATGCAGCAACTCTTTAGGCTGATATTGTGGATCTTCCCTCTCTCTCTATTATGAGGTTATTATTGTAGCATTAACACTGCTTATATATGAGGTTCACACTGCTGGGAAAGGATCCTTCTCTGGGGTTTGAGAGAGAATTCCCGATTTGTAGCCACAGCCTGAGTGTCTTGGGCCAGAGACCCTGGAGTGTGAACAGCCCCTTGTCTGGACGGAGTCAAACAAAAAGCCCATTGGGTTGGGACAGCTCAGGAGAAGTAACTCAGGACTGATTCTAGTTATTTCTGGTGTAAAAGCCTCTATTTTAAATGAATCTTCCTTCCCTGCACACACATACCTTCCCACTCTTTTGAAGCAGTGATGGAGGCAAGTGAAATGTCTAAGGTGTCCTGGCTGTGATTGCTGACACTGGGGGTGAGACATTACCAGTGTTGAATATAAAAGCTTCTGAAAGCTGCTTCTGTGGTTTCCTCTGAAAAAAAGCCTTCTTTCTGTGGCCACCTCCTTGCCCTTCCTACGCTGTGTGCTGCTTGTTGCTACTTGATTGGACCATGCAGACTATTTGGGGTTTATGCTCTCTGCCCAGTGTCCGGTTTTGCTGTTGGGGATGATGGGATAGTGAAAGAAACTCTTCGTCTGCTTTACAGATTGAAGCATCTTGGTGTTTTGGAGGTGGGCTACAAATGACTTTCTTGCATAAATCCTCCTTGCTTTGATGAAAATATAATATTTCTCATTCCCCTGAGTAAGCAAGTGTGCATATGTGTGTGTGTGCTGAATGCCAAAGCGCTGGTGAAGCCAGCTTGCTTCCGTATGTGAATCATTTCTCAAGCAGCGCTCTGTCTCACTGCAATGTGGTTTTCCTCTCAGGGAAGCACTCAAGCCCTGAATTTTTAGTCTGTTTTGCACATGCTGTCAGAAGCTAGTGGAAGACAGTTTTCTTTTTAATGCAGAAAAGAGGACAAGCTTTTACTGTAAGTATTTGAATATCTTTTACTTTTTTAGGTGGGAACTGTATTATCTTTAGATGTGTTCTAGGATCACTAATGTATTCTTAGAGTGAATGGACTTGCTTTACTCAACAACTACTTTTTTTAGTAGTATCTCACTTTAAATTGCATAAAACAAATGTATAATGGAAACAATTGTGCTAGCTGAAAATGGGCTGGGGGTGGTCTAAAAGCCCTTACAATGTAAAAGCCATTATAACAAAAAATGCTACCATGTGAGTCAGAGCTGGCTACTGTATTTTTGTTCTGCTCAGCTGTGTAGATGTAGTGACAGAATGGTTGAAGCTGTTTCTGTGCCTATTTCTGCTTTCTTTTCTGGCAATTTATGGTTGTTCTCCAACAGTTACATGAAGCAGGAGCATGAGCAGACTTTATTCTGCTACTGCATGTTCATGTAGTCCACTCAAAGGGCAGAAAGGACCAAGCTGTTAAGCACATAGGTTTGGCAGTTCGTGTCACTGCAGGGGATCAGTGAGAGCATTGGGGAGCATGCCAGATGGGTGTCCTCTTAAAGCACTTCAGCAAAGAGCTCTTCAGATTGTCAGCAGGACTCTAATTACAGCAGTTTAACAGTTGTCCTTAAAATTGTACCCTGGACTGAAGCTTGGTCATAATAACAATAGTAATAATAGAATTTATATGGCATGTAATATGGCAAAGTTGTGAAGTCCTGTATGTGTAGCTATAGAGGGTTACTGGTAGAACTGGTTTGAGAACAGGGATTCTCTACCTCTCTTGTATTCAGTCTAAGTTCTTCTGGGTGTCCTCTGTTAACCCTTTCTGTCTCATCTCCAAAAGGAGCCATTTTCCATGTTCCTCTTCTACCTTTTCCAAGTTATAAAATGCTCTCTGCTTCTAACCTCAGGAGGAGAGAGGGTATTTGATTTGTGGAACTACAGTATTCCGTGCAGTTTTGACAGATAACACAAGCATACCTCATCCTAACATGCGCACATGTGTGTACTACCCCTTCCCTTTCTAGTTTGCTTCTGCAATTGTTCTAAAACAATTGAATTTTATTATGTAGCCCACCAAGGTGGGTGTTTAAGTCCATCAGTGGTCCTTAACTCACAATTATAACTGTCAATACTGTTGCCTGAATCTGTTTTGTTCCCGTTCAATATGACTATTTTTAAAATGCAGAAGTCCTTTCGTTTCTCCTGTGGCTTTGGAGTTATGTCCTCATCTTTGCAAAGAACCCTGTCTCTTAGAAGTTCACAGTCACTCAGATAAATGTTCACAAGTTCCCTGTTAGCTTTAGTGAGTGATCTATTCTGTACTTTAATGGAAGATGACTATCTCAAGGGATAACTTCTAGATCTTGACTATTTCTCTGCCTTGTGATGGATGGAAAATGGGAGCCAGGGAAACATCTTGGCATGTGGCAATCTGAGGCTGTTCCCTTGTGTGCTGTAGGACAGATGTTGATTTAATTCATTTTTACTTTCCTCTGTGGGGTTCCTTTCCAAGGCACATGAATGAATATATCTTCATAAATATGCCATTTAGTGGATAATTGTAAATGGAAAAACTAAGACATAGGAAGATAACATGCCTGAGGTAGTTCAATAAATCTCTGGTGGTCCTGAGGATAGAATCAAGTGGATCCCAAATGAGTGCATTGACTGCAGTCTCATCCCTTTGCACTTCAAGGGGACAGAGAAAGGGAACCTATCAGTCTGTGCTTGTACAAGTCAGTATTCCCATGTAGCTACATGTTGTGTCTCTGCCATTCCAGAAAACATGGTCATTCCTTCTCTCTTGTAGGTGTACCTACCCTCTGTGCTAGAGAATGTAATGGCAGGTAATTATCAGGCAAACCACTTGTAATTATTCTTAATTTCTTTAGCAATTATGTATCTAAAATGAAACCTTCTTTTCTTTCTTCCTTGTGGGTTGGCAAAACATGAAGTGTGAACCATATGTGTCACTTGCTTTGTGCTGTATTCACCAGGACAGTAGTTCAAAGAACCTGAATTAATGAGCAGTAGCTACCTTGAAATGGTTCTAAACCATTTTGTTCTCAACTTGCAATATACTTGAACATAAATTAAACCCATCTATTCAGGGCACAGTCATAGTGGGGAAAGCCCAGAGTGACCTATTTTTTACTTTTATTTTTTTTTTTCAATTATAACATGGCTGTAACTTCAAAAAGGCAGTTTGAAATCAGTGCAGCAGTTCTACCTTTCCTGAATCTTTCCTTTGACTTCTGTCTCCAAAGGGGGGATGTCAGTACTTATGTGAACTGATATATTTGTCATACATTGAAATAATGAGGGAACTACTACTTCTAAAAATGCATCCTCCAAACTCTGTAGTGTGAAATCACTTCCTGGACGTAGTTTTGATGTGATTTAATAAAATCTGTCGTTTATTGCGTAACCTCTGTGTGTACATTCTGCCACTACATGCTTGTGTATGACAATGTGTCATGGCAGGGGGGTTGGAACTAGATGATCTTAAGATCATTTCCAACCCTAACTATTCTATGATTCTGTGTGCTGCCTCTGTCTGTCTCTTCTTACAAATGGATGTTGCCACCCTGCCCTTCAGATTGTCCTTTTGCTTGTGTGCATCTGTCAGTAATTGCCCCATTTAACTCTTTGCCCTGAAGGTAGTGAAAGATCATATCACTCTTTTGGCCTTTCAACCTTACCAAGAGAATGCATCTACTTAAACCAGAGAAGCAGGGTGTGCTGTGTATGGATAGCCAGCATACAGCTGTGCCTGTGCATGCATCACTGAATGACATGTGGGCTTCTTCAGGTATCCCACCATCCAGCTGGTAGTTGCCACTGTGCTTCTGGAGGGCTAATGAACAGAAAGTTACAGATAGGTTGGGATTTTTTTCCTTACCCCCATGTTGTTTAGTAGTCTCTCTTTGGAAGTGTGTAGTTGTGACTGGTTAGATAATCAGGGTGAGGAAAGAGGAGGAGACTAACAGTACAATTTAAATTACAGGAGGAACATGTTCCCAGACATTTAGAAATACAGCTTGGGCTCCATTTTCAAGCATCAGTCACTGCTGGATGACAGTTCTGGGTATTCAATCTACAGTAGTAAAATAGCTGTATTTTCCTGTCATAAATGGCCAGTAATACTGAACACAGACAAGAGAAACACAGCTAAATAAATCCTTTGTCCACATGCACACATGAGGATTTGGTTGCAACTTCTGAATCTTTTTTCATGAGATCTAACTAAGAATTAAAGGTTGACAAATGCAAAACTCCAGGGAGAACTTCTGTGGAGGAGGATGAGCAAGAGGTTTTGCAGTGCTCTCATGTCCATGCCTGGAAAAGTCATCAGTGACTCTAATGGTTGCTGCGGGAAGAGGATTTTATTTTGAGTGATGTTGAGACATGGAGTTTTGCAGTTGCTGACATGGACTCTGACAGTCTTGGGTTGGTTTTTGGAAGCTGAGTTGGTGGCCAGAAACCTGTCATCTGTGGCTGGCTGGAGCTGTCCTCACCTGGGCCATTTCTTATCTAGTTTAGACATCCTTGTAACTGCTCAGTATATTTATATACTAGTTGATAAGTTTTAGAGAGTTATGAAGAACACACTAAGGAACTTGGAACTTGATTGATCTTAGGTCCTTTCCAACCCTAACTATTCTATGATTCTATGAAATAAGCAAGAAATGCCTTAAGAGACAGCATCATTTTTGTGGTGCCACTGTAATCACAGATAAAGTAACTTTTGTCTTTAGGAGAGCTAATGGATTTTCCATTGTCTGTGGATTTCCATCTGATGCCATGATGGGAAAGGAACCGGCTCTTGCTGAAGTTGCTCATATTGCAGAGGGAGGGAGACATGTGCCCTGCAAAGGAAATTCTCATCTGATGCCACATTGAAAGTGCTCTTCTAGGGTTTTTTTGAGTCCCACAGAAGAGCAGTTAAACAAAACAAACCAAACTGCAACCCAAAAGAGTAATTTTTGTATGAGGATACAATCTTCAGGCAACCTTAGCAAAATGAGGGTTTTGAAGATGCGACTCTGAAGCGATATCAGAGCTACTGATGGTTAAATTTTGGGACTGGTATTTTGTTTTACACTTTCCCAATGATTAGTTGGGTGACAATGGGCATGTATGTGCCTTGATGTCTGTGTATTTGTTTTATATCTAAACTATCAATACTTTTAATCACGTGCAAAAGCACCTGGAGTCTATAACTGCGGTGTTATTATAGTATGTTTTTCTCTGCTCCTGAAAGTTAAAAACTTATACTCAAACCACCTTTGCTTGGGGCGTGTACAAACCCTGCAGAGTTTGTCCTGCTGCAGCATGCAGTTTGGGCATGAAAACTTCCAAGTGATGTCTCCTGGTACTCTACCAGCAAAACATGAAAATTCAGCTGCAAATGAGACTGGAAAGGAAGTCTGCTGAGGGAGACCAGGAGAAGCTGCTGCTCAGTGTTTAGGGTCAGGTTTATAAGGAATACTTTTTGGGCAGCAAAATCAAAAGTCTTAGAGATGAGGTGTGGGGAAATGGACATAGCTTGTCTGTTCCTTTGAGATGTGTTTTGGGGGAAGGAGGTGCTCTGGCTTGTGACTGGGTTGGGATTTTTTTGTAGTTATTGGCTCTTTAATCCAATTCTAACAAAAGCTAAGCTTTGTACCAGCAAAAAGTCCGGGAAGTGTCTCTATGTGGAGGAATAATGGAGAAAGGTTGTACTGAGAGCCTCAAAGACACTAAACCCAACATAACAAACTAGAGAAAAGAGAAGATGGGTATGTTAAATACAGAAATACAACACACTGAGCTGGAAGGAGCAGATGCCTAAGGAGACAAAGCCCTGGCAGTGTTCAAAGCCAGGTTGGACGGGGCCTTGGGTGGCACGCTCTAGTGTGGTGTCCCTGCTCAGGGAAGGCGGCTGTAACTAGATGATCTTGATGTCCTTTCCAACCCAAACCAGTCTGTGATTCTATGATTCTAAGGTACTGAAGGTGACCAAAA